GTGGTACGTGGCCCAGGCAAACTAGTCCACCATCTGCATAGATTTACCTTCTGAAATAGCCAAAGGTGTGAGGATAGATGTGGGATGCGAGAATGAACAAGCAGTCAAGAGACACATTAAGATCTAGGGAAACACATAGAAAAGGGTATTTAGTGGGATGGCTGGTAAAACAGGACCCGAGGAGTTGCAGGTGGTGAGGAAATTGCCACCTGTCCACAGAACCAAGAAAGATGCCGTGAGGTGGGCACACATTCAGGAGGACTGGGAAGGATGGAGGGAGAAGATCACAGCTAACTAGAGTCATGTGAACTCCAGGACATGAGAGGGGTCGAGTGTGTCTGGAAGGAACAGGGGGAGGGGCCAGAGGAGAAGAGTGAATGGTCACTTACATCCTCCAAGAACAAGCAAATGGCCAAGTTCCCCAGGGGAAATTCACTTTATGAAAGGGGAGATCATCTTTATAAATTCTATTTTAAAATAATCTATAATCAACACCCCAAAACCAAATAATCCAATAAAAACAGGCAGAGGGCATGAACAGACATTTCTCCAAAGGAGACATCCAGATGGCCAACGGACACATGAAAAGATGCTCCGCATCACTCGTCATCAGGGTAATTATCTCCTCTCGTAATATTTATTTTTCAAAGTTTTGTCAGCTCCTCTCCCGTTTATTCTCCCAGATACACTTTTCAGCCATTCACTGAAGTTCCAGCAAATGATCCCGTTGGGATTTTTCCTGGCATTTCATTAAACATGAAGGTTCAATGAATCCAGGAGGAATCGATACATTCACGATTCGTCTTCCTCAGTCATGAACGTGGTGTGTTTCTACGTCCTCAACCCATGTGTGAATATTAGCGTTTCCCCCGTAGACACTTCGTGTCCTGGATTCTCTCGCAACGACTGCTGGCCCCACCTGTCCATGCTGAGACCGGACCAGGGCCAGAGCCAGGGGCGCCTCGGGAGCATTTGCCCTGCACCCCAGCCTCCGGGCACCAGCCTTCCATCGCCACCAACTCGTGCCTCGGACCATTCATGCCCCCATGTTGTTTCAATTTGGTGAACGCACTTCTCAAACTGTCTGCAAGTTGTACCTTTTCTTTTCAGATTGTCACCCCCCCCGGTGTTGTGCTGGAAACTCCCATTGGCGGGATACAGCTCACGTAGATTTCCTTTGCTCACATATTCTCAGTGTCAGAGGCCAGCTCCCGAGAGCTGTGGGCTGTAGTTGGCCATAAGTGGACCAAGAACACTGGTGTCCACGTCCAAACCATTGACATTTCCCTCCTCCCGGGGCAGAGGCCCTATTTACAGTCTCCTATTGACAAAGGAAACGTTGGTGGGTTTCCTCTTCCTGAGGATGAGGCGGGGCCCGCACTCTGCTCGAACCTCCCCTCGCACACAACAGAGCCTCCTTATCTATAAATAGCATCTGTAAAGTCTACAGTTGGAGAGAAAACCAAATTGTTTTTTTGCTTGTCTTTCAAATGAAATATAATCAAGATTCCAATGAGAGGAGAAAGGAAAGATCTTAACGTTTAAATATTTCTGATCTTCTCTCGGGAGAACTACTTAATGGTCAACTTACGCCACAGAAGTAGATGGGTTTAAATTCTCCCTGGCTTTTAAAAGGGGCATAGCTGCAGTCCGTGGGGTTGTATGGACCACATCCCCATATTAGATTCCTGGGGCGGCCGTAACAAGGCACCACAGACTGGGCAGCTGAGACAACAGACATGTATTGTCCCCATCCTGGAGTCTGAGTTCTGAGATCCAGGCGTGGGCAGGGCTGGCTCCCCACGAGGCCCCTCTCCTAGGTGTGTGGACACCCTACTCTCCCATGTCCTCATGTGGTTTCCCTCTGTGCCTGTCTGCTTCCTGATCTCCTCCTCTCTTAGGGACATGGGTCAGATTGCATGGGGGCCACTCCTAGTGACCTCATTCTTCCTTAATCCCCTCCGTAGAGACCCCATCTCTACAGTCACATTCTGGGGTGCTGGGGGCCAGGGCTTCAACATAGGGAATCTGAGGCAGACAGAATTCAGCCCACGACAGCACCTTTATTATGTCTGAGGTACTTGCCACCAACTTGCTCTGCGGTTTTGGAAATTACTGGACCGGTACGGCTTCAGTGTGGAAAGTCTTCTCATCCCGGCCAGAAGACAAACTGTTCTCTAAGCTATAACACTCACGGCCTCTCCCCTCTTTGTTCTAGATTATGCTACATATGTTCTTCTATGTGGAGCATTGAGAGCCACTGTGATTCATGAAGACGCTCTCCCATTGTACCCCCCTGGTCACCTCTCATCTTCTTAAAGGTCACGGACAGATATTGGGGTGTGCTTTTGTCACGCAGTGAATCCAAAGCCTCCTGGAACCATTGAAAAAAGGCTGAAGTTGAATTGGTGATGGGCTGATGGGTGGTGGATATTTCGGTGGCCGAGCAGAAGAGCATGGCTGCAAACTCAAACGTGTCCCCTCTGGCAGGTAGGGGCTGCTCCTGGTGCAAGTGCACATCTGTCCTTGGGCACCGGAAGGCCAGCAGGCTGCACATGCCAAATATCAGTCCTGCAGCCCACGCAGCCTGAGGTATGTACATGTCTGCCCACGGCAAGCTAGTCTTTGGATGGTGCCACCAGACCACATTTCCCTCTACTCAACAGTTTAGTGATGTGTCCAGCCATTCAAGGATCATCTTCTAACTTAAAAAGCCTTAGGGGCTTAATAAAGTACACTTCTGGCAGTTCTAGAAGACTCAAGGGTCCATAACCACATGTCTCGGTTTGTCAGGATGTCTTGCTGCTCCCTCAGGGAGGATGGGGGTGCTTCCAAAACATGGCCAATCGAACACCCCATCGCTGAGCCTACTACTTAGTTTTCTCTCTTTTTGTGGCAATTTTTCTTGGTATTTATTAATTCATAAGGGAAACTTGTCTTGTCCTTAGGAAGAATAGTCCCAGCAATGTCAGGCTTAAAGGCTAGACTGGTTATGCTGGTCACAGGCGGTTGACAGATTCATTGTGAAGCCAAAAATATAATAACCACAAACTCGTCTCCTACAGAGTCTTTACCGTGTAGTTCTAGAAACATCCGGGTTTGCCAGTTGCCTGGTGGCAGCGAAGCTCTCCCATCCTGAGCGGGGAGTGGAGGACCTACCCTGCCCCCTCTGGAACTCAGTCAGTTGGGGTGTAACCAGTGTCTCCTGATTTCCTTAAAGCATTCATGGGACCTGGTGACAGACAGAGCTGGTTCTCAAGGGAAACAAGTGCTTCCTTAATAAGTGCGACTTCATCCGACCTCCCCACCTCCCTGGGCCAGAGTGTGCTCAGCTTTCCAGGACAGGGGGCTGCATTGGATTAGCTCTGCAGTCCCTTGGGGCACCAATGTGACTTTGTGGTAGCCCACAGAACCCATAGCCATGTCTACCCTGAGAAAATGGTGCGTCTCCAGATGACTGGTCTACTGCACCTGGAATGACTGTGCTCATTTTGTGGAAACTGTGTCCCTTTTTGCATCGGGTGTGGGAAGGCAGGGATCGCCCAACATGCATGGTGTGTGCAACCCCAGCCCTGGATTTATCTGACTTCTCCTGTTTATTCTCTCTTTGACCTGATGTCCTCATATTCTTTTCTTTAAATTTAAAATGGGTAAATTTATATTTTGAATAAGTAATGCATATATATGGTTCCAATATTTACAAATCATGGACGGTAGAGAGCAAAGTCTCCTTCCCAAGTCCTCTTCCTTCTCCCGGCCCTTCCCCTAGCCCCCGGGGCACCACTATTGGAAGTTTCTAGAGATGCTCCTTTCCAGGGATCTTTTAGGCACAAGCATACGTATGGATGCTGGGAGAATCAGGAAGGAGTCAGATACACGTTACAGGAAATTGGAGGAAGGGGGATCCTTACCATGTAGTGGCAAAAAGTTTAGTGAAATTGTTGGTGGAGAGGAGAACCTATAAGCAGTGAAGTTGGTCGTGTAGCTAAGAGTATTTCCAAGCACAGTGTTAAAGGTGTGGCCTGTTTTATTCTTGTTGCTCCTAGTGACACATGTGAGGAAAGAGATTAATTGAGGGAAGAAAATTGAACAAAAGGAACCAAGATCTGATGATTCCGAGCAACCTCAGCCTCCCAGACGATGCTAGAAATGCTCAAGTGAAGAGATTCTCCAGCTGAACATGAAGAAGCAAGCCACCAGGAGCCTTACAGCTTCTAGGAAATGAGTTCTGCCAACACCACGTGAACTCAGGAGAGGACCCTGAGCTTCAGATGAGACCCCAGCCCCCGCCCAAACCTGACTGCAGCCTTGGGAGACCCCGAGCTAAGCCACGCCCAGACTCCTGATGCATGAAAACTAGGAGATAAAAGAACGTGTGTTGCTTTAGCTGGGAAGTTCGTGGTCATCTGCTGTAGAGCAATGCAAAACTAGTCATGCATCTTAGGACTTTACAGTTGACACACTGAGCAGAAAGATAAATAAAGCCAAGCTTAGGATCTCTGATTACGATCTCTTACGCCCATAATAAGGAGGTGGTTTTTGTAGTTGTTTTGGGATTATGATCTCAGAAGCCCAATAGAGTAATTCACATTTTCTGAATATTATCCGCAGAAAACCATGAATCGACCAAGATATTAACCGTATACCTGCAGGGATAATGTTGCCGGCATGGAGAAGGCAATTTTTACCCATGATGGAATGGTCTAGAAGCATACAAATGTGGCAACCGCTGTTTTCATTGGGACGTTCTTGGACACTAACTCAGGGAGAGATGTTTGGGTGGCCGCTAGAGGCCGCACTCACCTGTGCTTAACCCAGGTATCAGACTCGCTGGCTTGCTCCGTGTAGTTCTCAGGTAGGAAGCCTCGGCAGCCTGTCCGCTGGGAGATCCCAATCACCCAGCCCTCGCTGGCTTCCTCCTGCTGAGTGGGGTCCACGAAGATGTAGTCGCCAGGACTTAGTGTAAGCTCGTCCACGTTCTGAGGTTTGTACTGGAAGAGGGCCCTGAGGGTCTGGAAAAGACGCAAGTGTTTTCCTTGAAGGCACTCCAAGGCCTTTGTCTGATGATAGATACTAGCATATAGGAGAATATGGCCCAGGATTCTTGGGATCAGTTTGGAAATGAATTCTGGTGTCTGTCTATCTATCTATCTATCTATCTATCTATCTATCTATTTATCATCTATCTATCTATCTATCTATCTATCATCTATCTATCATCTATCTCTTATCACTATTTACTGGTCTCTAATATGAAAGATCTTAGAGCATATTTAGACTTTCACATCCACCTTCCTTGGCATGAGATTATTTATAGCTTCTCATACAACATGGAACATGGTGGATTTATTCATGCTAATTCCATGGGTCTGAAAGGGAGCACTGCCTACTTTCCATGTAAGCTAATCAATTTGCGGGGAGGAAGTCTTGCAACGAGGCTTCACTGAAATCATCATTTAAACAAATTAATAAGCAATACAACATATTTGTAAATTTTTGCAACAGTCCATTTTTTATTGCCAACAATGCTACCGTTGCTTTTTCCAATTTTTTTTTGTGTCTGCAACTCATATATAAAAGAATGCTAGTTCCAAATTGCACAAAAGGGGGAATGATTTAAAAAACAATAGACGGTCTTCCTTTTCCTGAAACACCTCCAGAGGAGGGCTCCTGGGGGTCAGTGCTCTGCCGGGTGGGAACCATTTGTTCCCGTGCGCTGCTCTGGGTGAGGCTCCCAGGCCTGGGTTTGCTCACCTGGTAGTGCACGAAGCGCATGTCTCGGGAGTAGAGCACTGCGGTCCACTGGCAGCTGTGGCCCGGGCGGATGGCTCTGGCCAGCTGCTCTAGTGTCCTCTGGTGGTGGGGGTAGAACTTGTGGGCCAAGGTCAGATGCAGCTGCTTGGTGCAAGGCTTCACGGTGCAGTCTGTGAGATCAGGTAAACACAAGGATGATGCGTGCTTTAACCCACACCATCGGCATTGCATTTCCAGGATGGCCACGCACCCAGGATGGCCACGCACCCAGGAGGGGTGGTGCAAAGCCTTTCTGCATGGCGCTTCCTGCCTCCGCCCACTCCTTCCCCCTGGGCACTGGGGCTTTCTTGGTAAGGCAAGGACTCCCCCCCCAGACTGTGTAGTCTCCAGAGTTCAGCTTACAGAGGGGATGGTGGGTACTGCAGATCTTACAAGGAGCAGGAAAGAGGAGGGGTAGAGATATGGGTTGGGGGTGTTTGGAGCCTGTGGATTTGCTAGCTGGTTGCCCAAACAGTTGACTAAAATGGATGCAGTAAACAGCCTCTCCTTCATTCCCTCGGTGCGCACATTACCCATTGGCCTGGACCGGTAGCCCGGCGCTCTAGCTCAACGAGGTTTGGTTCAGCCTCAGAGTCTCAGGAAGAAAACACCACAGGCAATGCACCTGTGTCAAACACGACAGCATCTCTACTATTTCGCTCCCTTCGGTGAAGCAGGAAGCCCTCGGAGCAGCCAGCCCCTGGTCTTTTTGGCTGGCCTCTGCCCTGGTGGCCCCAGCCCTCCCGGTCCTCATTCCTGAGCCCTGACGTCGGCCAGGTTCTGCTTTCAGCTGGGTCACAAAGGAGTGCGTGTTCCGGGGAGGCGGAGACCGACGGGAACACACAGATTTGGTCTTAGGTAGACCTCCTTCTGGTGGGTGACCTTGGAAGCATCTTGGCCTGACTCAGCTTTCGTTCTGATGGCAACAGCTTGGGGACAGTGACCACCACCTGCTGAGGCTGCACTAAAACCAGTCTCTTCGTTCACATCTCTGGGCGTCTTTTAGTAAATACTGGTCACCTGCCACCCCTCCCATGGGCAACCCATACAGCAGACAGGATTGGGGGTTCTCCCCTGGAAAATGTCACCAATGTTGCAGTTGCTTCCTGGACCCAGACCCGCCAGCCCCACTGATGTCTCCCATCCCCTACGCCAGCCTTTAGCAGCAAACAAGAAACTGTCGAGGTGAGAGGCTGAAATTGAGACTGTGTGTGGGTGGTGGGGAAATTCCTTCTTTAGGTGTTTGAGCACTGCGGGGAGGATGGCCTTGCCACGTGAGTCAGCGTGGCCTGGGAAAGACCCACGCTCAATGTCATCTGAGTTACCAGTGAACCACACACGACTTCTGAATGGGCCCTTGTGTTGTCTGCTCCCCACAGCCCCTGCCTGTGGGGGCGTTTCACTGGGGGGTGGGGGGCCCACTTGCCCGGAGAGGGGCCCAGGACACGCTGAAGCTGAAAGGCCCCTCCCCACCCCTCGGGGTCAGGCCCAAGGCACAGGTGTGGCAGGGCAGGGCAAGAGAAGTGCAGGGCTGGTCAGCAGGAACCCAGGTGGGGCCGAACGAGACAGGGCTGGCCCCACGTTCCAGCTCCGACCACTGCTTAGGGGACTCGGTTGCTTTCCTGGGGCTGTTGTCACAAATGGCCACGGACTACGGGGCTTGAACCAACAGAAGTGTGTTCTCTCACAGCCTGGAGGCCAGAAGTCCAATGCTGCCCTCCCTCTGAAGGCTCTGGGCAGTGTCCTTCCTGCCGCATCAGGTTCCCGGGGCTCCTGGCGCTCCTTGGCTTGTGGCCGCGTCCCCATATCTCTGCCTCCCTCCTCCCGTGGCCTCCTCCCTGTATCTCTGGGTGTCCTCTCCTCTCTTAGAGGGACATCAGTCACTGAATGTAGGGCCCACCCGACTCCAGTCTGGCCTTGTGTTAACTAATTATATCTGTAGAGACCCTATTTCCAAATAAAGTCCTTTTCTAAGGTTCTGGGTGGACAGAAATTTTAGGGGACACTTTCACCCCATGACAGTGACCTTGGGTGGGCATGCTACTCTTTATAAGTGCCGTGCCTGCTCCGCGGCAAGGAGCCGACAGGGCATGGCATGATGAGACCATGTTGTCCTTTGGAGGCAAGGAGATTGAAGAGCCACCTTTGACTCTTGTTTATATGAAGGACACCGATCTGCAAAGACACGGGGTAAGCCAATAATCATCCAGCAAATAGAATCCCGGAGTCCAGAGGCACACCTCCAGGTGGAAATCCAGGATTCGGTGACCTCCTGATGTGGCCAGATCTGTGTCCAGGCGTGTCTGAGAATGGGGTCTCTGGACGCCTGCAGAGGGCAGGGCGGGGGGTCCCCACCAGGGCACTTGGAGTCACAACGCTGAATGCTTTCCGTGTGCCAGGACCGATGGGGAAGCCCCACAGAAACAGGCTGTGCTGTTAGAAGGGCCAGACGCCTCACCGATTTGCAGAGAAAGAAGAGCGAGTCCTGGAGCTGATAAGGCTCAATGAAGGCCTAGCGCTAACCAGAGACTCCAGAGGAACTCTCGTCTTCGGAGGTCGAGTCCAGAGTCCCTCCCATGAACCCCAGCTGGAGCCCGTCTCTAGACCAGCGCAGGTGCTGGGGGAAAAGGGAGGTTTGCAGATCCTCAAAGTGAGTCTAGACAATCCTTCCCCAAGAGGCCAAGGAAAAAAGACCATGCTCCTCCCTAAAACATTACCAAAAACCAAGTAGGACTTGGTTTTACACACAGCGCTGACCCCAGGAGGGGATCTGCCCAAGGTGGGCTTGGGGCTGGGAAGCCCCCGATCCCCCAGCACGGGCACCAGCCTGCAATCCACCGTCTTCACGTGGCCACTCAATGTCCCCTCCTGGGACAGTTTCCCAGGGCAGCTGGAGAGTGCCAAGTGTTCTCAAAAACCACATCGATGCAAACAAAGGTATTCCTACTTAGAGAAAAGATGACCGCTGGTTCTCGGAGTCTGCTTTCCTTTTGAAGGACATCCTGGCTCATTAGATTTAGCTCCAGCCAAACTGTTCAGCCTCGGACTAAGGCCATGTCAGAGGAGCTGGCTGGAAAGGGAGAGGTGAGGATGGAAACGTCCCGGGCCAGGGTGCGTGTGTGCCCAGAGCCCAGCTCAGCCAGCCGTCTGGCCGCCACGGCAGCAAGGAGCAGCCTGCACCCCCACCGTACCCGAGGAGCAAGCTTGGCCCGAGGCACAGAGCGGTCACTCCCTATTAACCGCGCCTTTCATGTGCAGGTGTCCAGGGCTGCCTACCTGCTAAGACAGAGGCTTCTGTAGCGAACATTATGGCAAACTCCCGGATGACGTCTGCAGGGCTGTCGTTCACGAAGAAGCCCAGGTAGCTGATGGAGGAGTGGAGAACCAGAGGGACGACCGAGGGGAAGGAGCCCAGGATCCTGTCCCCAGCTCTCTTTAGAGCCTCATACAGACATTCCACCTTGTGGTCTTCACACTAAGGGAGAGGAGACAGAGGATGTGCTTTCTCGCCTTTTGTTAGAAGGGCAATTATTAACTTAGTAAAAATCATGCAGCCAACTGAGCCTATTTCTGATCATGATGCTGGAATGTAATTTATTTTGTCCATGTGTTTGGGGTTATGGATTTGTTCTTTACCCCGTCCTCAGTTTCTTAGAGATTTCGGGTAAAATTCGAAATGGAATATCCTTTAAGTGTCTGGGTTGGAAGTCACTTGTCACCCTAGCTACCTCCCGTCCCTCCATGTCATGTCAACTCAACCCACAGCTGTGGTCAGCATTGCATCATTTGGCTTCTGGAGGTTTCCCATGGACTCCGAGGCAGTCACGGGCATGCACTGCTCAGAGCTCACAGTGAGGAGGATAGTGGCCTAAGTCCCCAGCATCCGGCCACGTTCCTGCGGTGACCGTGCCCGTCACTGCCCCTGATGTGGTTTCCTTGGAGGTGGTCTGGGCTCCCAGGCTCCCTGTCAGCCGGCTGTCCTGCTCGGAGCAGTGTTGGCGGGCTGAGGTTCTGCCGCCTCGTCCTCCCCCGCTCTCCTGCCTGTCCCTTTCTTCTTTGTCCTTCACAGGTGTTTCTCCCAAATAAATCTCTTAGCACTTCTAATTCCAGCTTGGGGTCTGCTTCGTGGGGGACCGTGAACCAACACAGGCTCTGACCCAGTCTCCCCAGTGCCCCCCAGTTCACTGCACACAGTTCAGTCTGACCACGCTACCTAATGCCATGCTCCTGCCATGCCACCCTCCACCCCGAGGCGACAGGTGCTCCCCCTGTCACCCGCAGAGTGCTGTCTACACTGCTCAGCCTGAGCGCCAGGGCCGCGGGCACTGATCAGAGCCCTCAGTGCACTTCCCCCTCCTGCCTCCGGGGCTCAGCGTTGCCCCAGCCACTTCCTGGGCTTGAAGACCTTCCTGCATGTGGAAGACCCACGTGGCCACATGGGACCACGGTGAAACCATAGTGAAACCCAGACCCTTCCCCCCCACTCCCCCTCCCGCCCCCGGCAGGAAATCGGCCCAAGCCCTGCTCTTCCTGGCAGCTGGTTCCCTCCGAATTTCCCACAGCACCTTTCATCCTCTGAGGAACCAGCTGCATTGTAGTTTTAATATGCATTTTTATGTCCCCTTCTGATCAGCTGGCTCTATTCGTCCGTCTATTACATCTTAGCGGCCCTTGTGGGGCCTGGGGAAGCACATGACGTATGGAGAGTGTGACCTTGAATAAGTGACCGTCTGTCCACATTGTATCTCTGGGGCTCAGGTAAGTGGAAGCACAGAGTCGTTACAAACAGAGCTGCGGGGGGACATCTGCTCGTGGAGGCTGAGCGTTGCCTTCTGCAGCATCAAAGGCAGAGACTCAGTCCCTCTGCCGCTCTTCTGCCAGGAAGGGTGCTCGGCCAGCCCCGGCAGGGTTGGACGTGGGCTGGGGGTCGGTGGGGCGGCTGACACGAGAGAAGGGAGGGGTGCGTGTGTGTATCTACGTCCGTGTCTGTGTGGGTCACGTGGGGTGTGTGTGTGTGTGTGTGTGTGTGTGTGTCTGTGGGGACACGTGCGTGCTGGGTGCAAGTCCCAGGGGGTTGGGAAGACGAGCTGGGAGGCCAGGTGGCCCCTGGCTGCTGTGACGAAGCGTGCCCATTTCTAAGGTTACTTTCATCCCTGGCTTTGGCTGCCTTCCTTTCCCTGATGAGCTACCCAGGACACGCAGGAAGGAGCCTGACTGTCACAAATGCTGTTGCTGGCAAAGGAGGGGGACCAACTCACACCGGTTTGCCCGGGACTTTCCTGGTTTTCGCGCCAGAAGTTCTGTGCCTTGGGACTGTGCTAGTCTCGGGGTGCAAAGAGCAGTGAGGCATCTACCTCCTCTCGAGGGGTTAGTCTCCTAAGGGATGCAGGGTGGCACCAGACACATTGCCACAGCACGTGGACAGTGCCACTAGACACACAAGCAACACGATGGTGGGAGCACAAAGGGTGGCAGCCCTTCTGCCTGGGGAGCGGGGAAGACTTAACAAAGGGAGGGGCCAAGTGAGTGGGGCTCTGAGGAATGCCTAGGAGTTGCCCAGATGAGGGGAAAAGTGAAGGGTGGGGCTGACTCACCGTGAAGAAGTCACAGAGCGTTATGTGAGGGAAGACCTCATGGGCTCGGTTCTTTGTGCACTGACTCTTGCTCTCTCTCCAAAACCCCTGCAGTCTTTCCAGCAGGGACCCCGTGGGGCAGAGGAAAAGGGCGTACTCCTGGGGGATGGGATCATCCAGAGAAGGGTCATCACGATGACAACGCAGCCTGCAAGAGAACAGGCTGATTTCACCCATGCCACGATGGCAGGACACTTTCCCCGCGTGGGGAGGGCAGCAACCCAGCACCAGAGGTGTCCACACTGCACAAATTCACTGCCAGCCCCCCGCAGCAAGGCTGGTGTGGCCGCGGCATGGCGCCGGGCCCCCCCACCCCAGGCTCTGCCCCACATGAGTCTGATTCCCGGGCCAAAGACCAAGACAGTGAGAGAAGGTGGCCTGGTCTTCAAACGGTCTTTGGGGGCCAGAAAATTTGTAGAAAACATTCACATTTCGTTCTATCCGACTTCAAATTGAGCGTAAAAGTCAAAACTAAAAAAGAAAAACAAAAAAACAAACCTAGACAAAATGTAGGTGGCTATTCTATATTTTCTTTGTATTCAGAAGGTTATTTTAAGGACAAGGAGAGGTGACATATAACCCCAAATTCAAGTTCATACTCACTGATGACAGAAACAAGAATTAAGACAACCCCAAGGCATCATTTTCTCATCTGTCAAATTAACACAAAGCTTTTGAAAGGAAGAAGGTTACGCTCCATGTGTCAAAGGTGCAGTGGATCTGTGCAACTTCTGTATAAAAGGAAATTGTCAGGATGCGCCAAGAGCCTTCGAATACCCATCCCATCTGAACTGACAATTCTACTTCCAGAACTTTCTCCAAAGGAGAAAGCAAGTAACACTGAACGCGTGAGGTATTTCATGGCAGGTGATTTCTAACAGGAAAGACATAAAGATAAGATAAGTGACAGTAAGTTTATTGATCATGCATTCATCAGGAGTCATGGTTTTGAAGAATTTCAAGTGATGCAGAGACGTGCCCGAGATGTAAGACTGAGTTTAGCGGGCGGGATGTGGCCGCTTGAGGAGACAGGAGCTATGCACACGTAGAGGCTCCTTAAGAGTAAAACACCAACAGAGGGCGCTCTGCCCCTTCATCTTGGCACAAATGCATCCTTCACTGTTTGCTTTTCCTTCCAGAAACTTAAGTGACCAATCCACAGATGACACACACGTGTGTTTTATATCAATCATAAGCGACTGTTTAAATTATTCTGCAGGTTGCACTGTTTTTAGTCCACACCATGTTTTTGCAATTGACCCAAGTTGATGCGTACGCATCCGGTTAAGTGCGTCCAAGGGCCGTGCATGCTCATCACCCATGTGCGATATTTTACCCATCCATTCCACTGCCGGACACTGACATTGGTTTCTTTTTGAACAGTTTCGTAGCACGGTAATCAAGATCTTTGTACATGTTTCTTGGGCCCTTTGTATGTTTCCAAGGCACGGACCTGGATGTGGAAGTCCATGGTGGGCGGCCGCATTGATACACACCCCAGACTGCAGCCAGGACAGGGAGAGACCCCCTTCCGCTCACCCGCGTGGACACTTGAAGCTGCTTTTCATTTTTAATGGCATCTTAATTGGCACTTCCCTGGTTAGCTACGGTCGGCCCACTCTGGGTGGAGCCTAGGGGACCCCACTGTCTCCCCATGTCTCGGTGGGACTTGTGATCTGCTTGGCTGAGTTGTAAGTGGCAGGAAGTCACCTTGGCCCTCAAGGCAGTGGGTTTCCTTTGAAATTCAAATTTGGCAACCGACTTTAGAGTCAGCCCAGCGCAGAGGATTCTGGGTGTTTCCCTTTGTCTAGTAGAGGGGTTGCATAGTTTGCCCTTGGCCTAGAGTTTTTGGGGAAAGAAGGGGGTTCCCAGTGAGGACATGCTGGCCAGTCAGAGACCTACTGTCGGCATTTGCCATCCTGCTCTGGGAGGGCAGCCCAGCTGGCTGAGATCTGGTTTTTATTGCTTGATTTTTGCTGCAGTTTTCCAGAGCAGAGCATGCGGGGACTTGCCACCTAGGGGCAGAATGACAGCATCACGGCACATTCAGGCGGGACTGGGTGCTGGAGAACGGGGTGATCCCAGAGCAGAAAGCCGAGGCCTGCAGCAGTGGGCGGCTTGCGGAGTGCATAGCTGATTGATGGCCCCCGGGACCCCACAACCTGGCCCCTGATGCCTCGGGGGGCATCCACGACCAGCAGTAAACTCTCTCCCCATCAGAGGTAGCCTGAGAGAGTGGGGACCTCTATTTTATATCTTCCCTATTTACTCAACAAATCACGTGGCTTGCTTTCTTCTTTGATAGCCACATTTGGGTAAACTCAGATTTTTAAGTGAAGAAAGCCTTGTTCAAATTTCAATCTTTCTCCTCTGTTTGCCGTTTTAAATGTGGGTTCTTTCCCCCTTTCCTTCGGTGCTGGGTGGGCAGGCAGGGGCTCCCTCCCTGGCCGCCCGGCGTATGTGGGCACCTCCCCGTGTCCGCCCTGCAGAGCTCTCAAAGCCAAGTACTCAGCACATCTGCAGAGACAGCCCTACTCACCAATTGGATGCCTCTTCCGCTGTCTTTCTTCCAGTGGCTGCCAGGGCCTTTAGCCTATAGGAAAGCAGAATGAGAGGAGCACTCAGAGACCTGCCGTCTATTCTTTGGGGAAGCAGGAGGGAGACAGGGGTAGCCCTGCAGCACATGGGACCTTCAGGGAGGCCCCCACGAGGGCCTGGACTGCTAGATTTTGCAGCCGGACCCCCTGCCCAGGCCTCCGTCTCCATCTCCATGTGGCATCACTGTGGTTTCTGAAAATGCAGACCTGCTCATACCTCCCCTGCTCAGGGGCTCCAGCCTCCAGTCCTGGGCATGGGCTCCAACCACGCCCGCAATCTTGCCTCCTTGGCCAGTCCCCACACCCTGCACCAAAGCCAGGTGAACCCACTCTTGGATCCGCAAGTTGGCCGTGAAGGGCCGAATCCCTGGCTTGCCCACGTGCCTCCCTGCCAAAATGCAGCCCTGTGCCAACACGCCCTTAGAGAAATGGCACTGCTTCTTCCAAGCTTGGTTCAAGTGTCCCTCCTCCAGGAAAACCTCCCCAACCCTCCCAGGGGGGTGGTCGTGCAGCCCATCCTGTTTCCTCACCACACATACTGTCACTATGCTTCATCCATATAGACTTGTGTCTGTTTACCTCCTCTACCAGCCTGCAAGGTCCCTGAGGCCCAACGGTGTCATCCTCACCACTATAAACCAGGATATATATACACTGAATTAAATTTAACTGAATGGGACCAAATTGAACAGGATGGAGTACGGTTAAGATAACTCTCTCAGGAATTCAGCCCGGAAAAAGCTGGAGTTGATGAGCAAACCAACATGGCGCTGCCCCATGTTGCTATTGGTGAATACTGACAGGGATGACACTGGTTTCAATCACAAGGACTTCTGAGCATGAGTCTGCATCCAGCTTCAGTAGTGTAGTATAGGATGGGCTTTAGAAGGGCCAAGAGTGGGGTCCTGCCCCACCACTGCCTGAGTTCTCTGGTCTCAGTGTCCCTGGCTGCACCCAAGGGAAGGTGCCCAGGTTGGGGTCTGGCACACAGTTCCACTGCTTATTTCAAAGATCCCTGGTTTATTATCAACATAAAGGCAACAAAGTTCTGATTTGGGTTAGAAAAGAAAAGGGTGTAGCTTCCACGTGATTTCAGCCAATTTGCTCAGGGTTTTGTTATAATGTTTAAGGAAACTTTGGTCCCCTCCCCAATCCAAAGTTACTTAAAGGGACTTCTTTTTTTTTTTTTTTTTTTTAGATTTTATTTATTCATTTGACAGAAAGAGATAGAGCACAAGCAGGGGGAACAGCAGAGGGAGAGGGAGAAGCAGGCCCCTCACGGAGCAGGGAGCCCGACGCGGGGCTTGATCCCAGGACCCCGGGATCATGACCTGAGCCGGAGGCAGACGCTTAACCGACTGAGCCACCCAGGCACCCGTTAAAGGGAATTCTGATGCATTTTCCCATGTGAATAAGCCTGTGAAAAATTAGTACCCCATGTCCCTATCTGAGCTCATTGCTTTTAAGGACTTCTTTCTCTGACAGGATGGCTCTTAAGGTTAAAATTTTCCATATGGGGACGTTTTCCTTGGGTAAGCAGCATCGAGTCAGTGCTGTTCTGGCACTTCCTTAACCATCTCTTTCAATGATCAGACATTGAAGAGATTTTCCCTATAGATGAATGGTTTCCCCGCACCCTTTAGAAATATGTTCTTGATGGTGGTTCTTGCAACAGCTCCCTTCAACTGAGGGTCTGAAATACCTTATGGCGTCATCTCAGTCACTGAACTGCAGAGAGGGTACAACCAGGCCCAAGCTCCTCCAAACCCTGAAAAATGGGGGTGCCCCAGTAACACATGACTCCCAATTTTTACAAATGTCGGGGTCCCTCTACCAGCCAGCCAGGCAGCCAGCCAGCAGAGTTTGTCTTTAAAGGGCAAAGATCATGTCATTTATCAAAAGGAGAAAAAGGCCTTATTTTGAGACAGTAACTCGCACTGCAAGGTGCACCCCGTGGACAGGAAATAAGTGCTCTGAGCTGCCTGCTGATGTGCGGCAGGGGCCAGAGGAGCTGGGGGACCTGGGACACACACCCAGGAGCCCACGGCGGTGGGACGGTACTCACGCAGTGTGTGCTGGGAAGCCCATTCCCAGGAGGGGGTCCAGGAGCGAGGGGGTGCTGCGGCCCTTGTGCTTGTTGGAGACCTTTGCGTAGAGCTGAGTCTCCCCTGCTGCCATCTCTTCCTGCCTGTGGACAGAAATGAATAGATAAAGCCAGAGAGAGTGAGACAGGCAAGGCTGCCTGAGGGTGTGAAGAAAAACCTCAACCCCTTTTGATCTTTCTGACAAAAGCTTATATCCTGTTTGCATGAGATGTTGGTTTTTCAGAATTCTCTTTGCAGGGTGGTGGGGTACAGCTCTCACCAGCCCTGTTTCCACATGGGGTTTGGGTTCCAGAGGTCCAACGTGCTTACCAGAAGAACAGGAGTTGGAAAGATTGACACTACTAAATTTTGACAAGGCTGTGCAATGCTTGGAACTCTTATTCGTTGTCCGGCCATTTTGGAAAACGTTTGGACAGTTTCTTATACAGTTCATCATACATTTGCTATGTGACACATTTGCTCTTCACTATCTACCAAGGAGAAATAAAAATGTGTGACCACGCGAAGACTTGTATGTGAATGTCCATGATGGCTTTATTCACAGTAGACCTGAACTAGAAAGAATCCAAAAGCCCATCAACTGGTGAATGTATATGTAAGTTATGGTATATTCAATCAATAAGTAGCACTCATCAATAACAACAACACACTGCTGTCTCATGAGACAGCATAGATGAATTCCGAACAACATTATTTTGATTAAAAGAAACCAGACTCAAGATCATACATGCTGTATGATTCTATTTAAATGAGATTTTAAAACAAGGTACAACTAAACTATAGAGACAGGAAACAGATAAGTGGTTGTCCAAGGCCAGGGTCTGAGGGAGTTTTGGGGGTGATGGAAATGTTCCATATCCTGATAAGGGTGTGTAGGTCTTCAAGACTGACTGAACTGAACACTCAGATTGGGGGCATTTTAAAGTGTGTAAATTAAATCCCAATAAAATTTATCTTTAGAAAGGAAAGGGAAGGAATACTAAGAACAATTAAAAACAGTATGCTAATTTTCAACAAAAATAGGCCTGCTGGGATTTTGTGGGGGATTATGTTGAATCTATAGGTCAGTTTTAACAATACTGAGTCTTCCATTCCATGAATATGGTATATCTCTCTATTTACTTTCTCTTAGCAGTGTTTTGTAGTTTCAGTGTCTTGTGTTTATTCCTATGTGTTGCTATAGTTTAAAAATAATTCCTATTTCCATTTGTTGCCAGTATATAGAAATATAATTGATTCTTAAATATTGACTTCATATCCAACAATCTGGCTGAGATCACTTATTAATTCTAACATTTTGTAGATTCTTTTTGATTTTTTATGTACATAATTATGTCGTCTTCAAACAATGCCAGTTTCCCCCTTCCTTTCCAATATTTGTTAACTTTATTTCTTCTTTGTGCCATATCATTGTGGCAAAGACCTCCAGTGACATGTTGAATGAAAGTTTAGGATAAGTACCCTTTATCATAGTAAATAAATTTTTTTCCACTCCTAATTCACGGAGGTGTTTTTTAAAATTCATTAACAGGTATTGAATTTTTTCGGGCGCCTGGGTGGCTCAGTTGGTTAAGTGACTGCCTTCGGCTCAGGTCATGATTCTGGAGTCCCTGGATCGAGTCCCGCATCGTGCTCCCTGCTCGGCAGGGGGTCTGCTTCTCCCTCTGACCCTCCCCCCTCTCATGTGCTCTCTCTCTCAAATAAATAAATAAAATCTTAAAAAAAAAAAACCCAGATATTGAATTTTTTCAAAAGCTTTTTCTGCATCTATTGAGATGATCATGTTGTTTTCCTTCTTTATTCAGTGAATGAGGTAGCTTATTCCAATTGACCTTTGAATGTTAAATCAACCTTGTGTTTCTAAGATAAAACTTTGATCATAATATGTTATCCTTTGTATATATTAACCAATTTGTTAATACTTCGTTCAGATTTTTTTGCATCTGTGTTTGTGAATTAGCTTGGCCTGTTGTTTTCCTTTCTTGTAATTTCCTTCTCAGGTTTTAGTGTCAGTAGAGTGATCAGCTCATTCTGATATTTCTGGGACTTCCTAGTCACAACACTGAAAGTTCCCACTCTAGGAACCCCCTCAGTCCCTGGAAAACGAGGACAGTTGGCCACCCTAAGTGTCAGTGTTATTCTGGCCTCATAAATGAGTAGGGAAGTATTTCCTCTTTCCTGATTCTCTGAGTTTTTGTGAGATTGGTATAACTTTTTCTTAAATGTTTGAAAAGATATATCAGTAAAGTCATCTGGTCCTAGAATTTTCTTGGAAAGTTTTAAATTATGGATTTAACTTATTTAACAAATACAGGAGTATTCTTCTTGTGTTGGTTTTATTAAATTGTTTTTCAAGGAACTTGATCACTTTATCTAAGTTGTTAAATTTCCTGGCATAGATACCAGATTTTCCTTATCTTCTTTCAATTCTGTTGCATAATTTTCTGTGTAGACGTCTTGCAGTATTAGTTAGATTGTTCTTAAGTATTTGATCATTTTTTATGCCATTGTAAATTATTTTTTTAAAATTTCATATTCATACTCTTTGTTGCTGGTGATTAAAAATACTATTGATTTCACATTACTTTACATTGAACTTATATCCAAATATCTTGTTTGACTTACTTATTAGTTCCAATAACGAATCTCTAGAATTTTAAAGATATTCTATGTACAAAAGGAATTGTGTCTATGAATAATATTTTTCTTTCTTTCTTATCAGTACATATTCTTTACTTTAAAATTTATTTTTTATTTCTTTTCTTTCCTTGTTTTCTTTTTTCCTTTTCTTCTCTTCTTTTTTTCTTCTCCTCCTCTTCTTTATTCTTCTTTCTTTCTCCTTCTTCCTCATCCTTTTCCTCCTCTTTTATTGTACTGGCTTAGACTCCAAATGTTGAATAGATATGACATATATCTATATAGTGCGTCTCCCTGTGTTGTTCTCCATTTTAGAGGAAAATGTTTCAATATTTCATCTTTAAATGTAAGTTAATTATGTTTTTAAATATACTTTTTCTTTGAGGAATTAAAAAGATGAAATAATTTCATAATCAAATGAATTAAATAGCTCAAACTCAAAAGCCTCAAAGTAGAAAAAACTTGTAACCAGAAGAAAAAAGTAGATTTTGGGTCTGAGATATAGCCTCTACTCAAATATATTTTTCTTTTCTCAATAGTAAACCACTTTCTGAGCAATTGTGCTTATAACATATTAAAATATAAATTTCTCTCTTTTTAAAAAATCTTATTTTTTTAAAAAATTTTATTTATTTATTTGAGAGAGAGAATGAGCTAGAGAGAGCGAGCACATGAGAGGGAGGAGGGTCAGAGGGAGAAGCAGACTCCCTGC